TAGTTGATCAATGAAATCACACTGGGGATGTGTATTCATGTAAAGTTATAATCTGTTAATCGGTTATCTCATGTAAAACACGTGACCCTGTCATTTGACGCATGCACACAATCACATTTGGCAGCAAATATGACATGCTGTGAAGTTCAGATAGAATACAAAGAAAAATATTTATTTATTTATTTATTGATTTATTGATTTATTTATTCTGTCCGTCCGTCGTGGATTGATCTGGCAAAAGTTGAATATTAGAACATAACATTTTTATTTATTACAGCTTTCAACACCAAACTAAGTGAAGTTTTATAGAGCACGTGTCAGGAATGCAAACTCATATTCACATTTGATAAAACCCCAAAACGCAAGGATGCTGAAGCAGGAATGTTTTATACAAAATATAACAATGTTATTGGTCCCAAAAAATAAATGTTCTGTATTTCCCAGCATGCTCGCACTTTATATGGACAGGTGCGGACATTTGAATGATAAAGTAAACAATACTAATAACAAATGATTTCATATATTTCCAACATCAATTCTCGGTAAAGGTTTATAAAAATGATTATATCTATAAATTTGTGACAGAATCTTTTTTGAAATTTCTTTTTATTATGATAGTTGGTTTCCATTTGTTGGTTTGAATCACGTTGTTTTGGATAAAAGCCTTCAGCCCTGCGCGCCTCGAAAAATTACCAAAAAATAAGTTTATTTCCTTAAATCTCCTCATACTCATACGTTTACAATCAGTATACCCACTCCTTATATTGTATATTAGATGCTGTTATAGTTGTAATATGTTATGTTAACTACCTTGTATTAAAATTCAAATATACAGTAGCTGTGAAAATTATAACTTAAACTTTGCCATTTCATGATACATTTTAGTTGAATCTTCGATGAAGGTCACTAATTCCTCAGGAAGGTCAACTACAGCTTTCTTCTCGGATATTTGTGGAGCAACAAACGACGAACTTTCAATTGATACTTGATAACATTGAACAATGCCTGGACTAGTCAGAATCTCTGGAAAATGGCTGATGTTTCCAGGTTCCCACTTCAACATGGATTCATAGAAATGAATTCCTGTTGCTCTACAGTACTTCTGTATCACTTCTCTTGGAGAGTTGACCAAGTCATCAGATTCAACGATGATTGGAGTCTGACCGAGGTCATCCTTCACGTACTGAAACAAGTCGTACACAGGTTTTATGTTTGGTGCTGATGTTTTACACGACATTGTCAATTCATGGTCCCATAATTTATCTTCTTGTAATTTCTGCAGTAGCTTTAGGACGAGGGAACTGATTTATTGGGGTCCCTGATGATGAATGTATGGATGAACCCATGCGGTAAGTACTTCTCATAGTCCACTTTACAATTGAAACCATGAGAACCATCCTTGCATATGACTACTTCATACCCTGGGTAATCTGCTTCAAGAAATGACTTCACTTTCATCTTTTTATAACCTTGTATTGGCGGAACTGGTGATGTATATCCTCTCTCTATCCCCCAACCAAAAACCCAAATAATAAGGTTCATGGAATACTTTGAATGTTGACACTGATGCTATGGACAGTTCAAAAGCAGTTGATCGAGTACGTGCATAAACCCAAAGCATAACTCTTGTCGGTGGTATTGCCCCAATTGTAGCTGCCATTGCTTGAAGGAATAGTTATTTAAAGTAAAATGTAATAACAACGTGTGGCATGGTCATGAAATGCACCAGTATATTTAGCAACAGAATAATTCCAGTGATGACATGCTCCCATTTACTGGCGTACTTGTATTGTATACGTGACCTGTGTTTATTGTCTTAGTATGAGTATGAGTATGAGTACGAGTGGGTAAGGTCAAACTTTTGCAACTTATCAGTTCGTTGTCAAATGTTAATGACTGAATTTTTATGAACTACAACATTCATATAATTGTATAAGTGCGGATCTAACAATGATATGGTAATTAATAATGCAATTCGTTAATACCTGAGTGGCATACACGACAATAGAGAAATGATAATGTTCAGTACATGTCAACATTGAGGGCGCCATAGGACAGCAACTACTAGTATGTTTCAAAAAAATAAACACACACATACATGTGCTCGGATCTAGTAGGGTTAGTATGTTAGTATTGCCTGCAAATCTAAATCTGCAACTACACAAACTGCAAAACTACACAATGACCCCCGGGAAAAGGGCATATCAAAATGCAGCAAACAAAACAACTAGGCAAACATGCATTTCAAGAAGTGCGAAAAGAATGCAAAGAGGAATTCCAAATTGAAAACACCTTTAGCCATTAGTTTCAGTACATTTATATTGCAGCAAATATTTTGGAATAGTAGTTATTCCTTTGACTAATATAATAGTACTATATATCAGCATATAATTATGAACTAGTACTTCCATGCTGCCAGTAATAACTTGTAGACGTAGACGTAGATTCGAATTCCTTAATCATGCTGTCAATATGATTTTCATGCACTGGTTGATTCACACAAATTGATTTGACAAATGTTTCGAAATTTTAAAAAGACAAATGAATAGATATATATTACAAGCGACACATATATTAAAATTATAATGTAAAAAAAGGAGGTCCTAACTAGTCTGTCTAATGTTTTTGTTGTACAGCGTTATGCAAATGG